ATGTACGTATGTTAATGGAACTCATTATACAAGAGATGAAAAATCAAAAAAAAAAAGAGGGGGATGTGGATGGGAATAAGGGACATGAGTGCAATAATTACACAAATACAAAATGAATAAAAAATATCCATGTACGTAATTTCACGTTTGAATGGGCGCTCTGTGGCGATCTTCTTACATGACCTGCGCCTTTGAACGCCGCTACGAGCCGTCCGACCATCAGTTGTTTTACTTTTCGAAATTAGTCCTACAGTGAGTACGTAAAGGTGGACATAATTTACGGCAATATTATATCCAATACGAAAATCGGAGGACCTTATATCTTATCGCATTTCGCATGTATAGTAGGCAAATCGATAACAGATTGGTATGGTAAGGAAAAAAAAAAGGTCGCACATTGCCTGCTATACGATTTCCTGATTGTCCATCAACACTCATCGTAAAGTCACGCCTCGCTATACAGTATCTCGATCTAGTTGTTGCTGTTGTCGTCATCGTCGTCGTCGTTGCAGGGCGGGGTCTGATAGCTTGCCGGGAAATTTCATTGGAAAATCGATCGCGGAATAACAACTGGCGAGGCGAGTTTGTTGCACCTCTGTAAATAGAAAATCACTGGGTATTTTTAGCTACAGTTTTTTTTCCCCCTTTTACCCTTAATTCGTGTAAAATCGGAAAAAGAAAAAAGGTTCCACTCCGTGTTTATCCACACAAATTCTGCTCGACAACGAATCCACGCAATCGGCACTTGATCTGTTTTTTCCTGATCACGTTCGTGCAGGCTCTCCAGCTCGAGAATAAAACATGAGATTCAAATCAAAGTACAGTCAAGTGTCCTCTCGAGAAGCGAGTAAATATGTATATTTCCGTGGATTAAAGTGGTGGCGGACGGCCTATGAATACGAGAGTTAAGTAGAAAAATAAAAATCTACTAAATCTACTAAATCTACTTTACAGAGGCAACATGGGAGGATGCAACCTTGAAACATCACGTAATTGGGTATATTTTCGAGCAATGATTAAAAAGATCACGTAAATGCGGAGACAATGAATAAATCTTTATACCACCACGGCACGATTAGTCTACTCCTCAAATCGAGTAATTGCACAGATTAATATTTATACGACAATGCGAAAATTACTTTTTAATTTTTTTTTTTTTTTTTCAACTCACAGAAATATAATTCGAGGATCGAGATGACCATGTATTCGAGACAAAGGATGAGAAGAGGAGAAAAAGTTAAAAAAGGAAGGAAGAAAGATAGTACAGGGTGCATGTGTGCATCGCAAAATTTGCGTAATTGATTGTGCACCGCATTAAACAGTCCGAGATAGCGATGAAATTATAAACCATTGATTCGATGGCATCCAATTATCGGCTATACTCGAGAGTACACGTGATAGGTATATCTGTACACATACACACCCAAGTATGTACATAAACACGTATAGAGATGCAAAGTAGGTACAAATGCAGAGACGAGACAACAAATGGGCATCGTAAACGGGTCGAAATGTACACTCAAAAGGTGTAAGTATACTTTTGTACCAAGGCAAAATGCGCGCATGCATGGTATACATGTGTGTAAAATACGTAAAACAGCGAAAAGACAGAGAAAAAGAGCAGAGTCCGAATAAATACGCGGTCTGATATATAATCACGTTGCACAGGGCCCAGATAATCAGACGGGCCGCGATAACGAACCACACCCAGTGCTACATACAGTCGATCCATTAGCGCGGTCTACACGATTGACGTGGAATCCAATTGCACGTCACGCCATTGTGGCGACACCACCATATAATTTACATGTACACATGGCCGACGTGACGTGTATATATTTATAATCTATCGATGATACACGGGGTGGTATGAATTACGCAATCAATCCCTTGAAGAGAAGATGGAGAGATGTGCACGTTGTAAATGCATATAGAGTTTAGTCAATCGTGGAGTGTGGGTATATAATTTAAATCGGCTATAACAGTGACCGGGGGAAACAATTCGCGATTGTTCCGAGCATCGAGTAAAACTTGCTTTCGACGTTTGTCCCGAAAAATTTTCGTACTCCAAACCAGGTCAGAGCCATCAGACCCCGCAATCCTGTGTAAAAGAGAAGAAGCATGCATGTATAGGTAATATAGGTACGGTAAAAAGAAAAGAAAAAAAAAAAAAAAAAGAGAGAGAGAAGGAGGACAAGAGAAGGTACACACACATGTATAAAAGAAGAAACAAAAAACATACACACGCAGTCACGGACAACAAGGATTTTCGGGAATGGGCAAGGATGTGTGCAGGCAATGAGGCCAATCCTTGACAGCCAACGCGTCCACCCTTGGACGCGTGAGGAGAGCAATGAGAGAGGGAGGGGGAGGTACAGCAGCAGCAGAAGGAGGAAGAGGAGGAAGTTAGAGCGCATGCTCTATTCCACACACACACACACACACTTGCACGCATTTATGCAGTAACGTTTCCTAACATTGCACAAATAATCAAAATAATCATACGTATGCATCGTAAGTCGTATACGTATATGGCGTATATGTACACCCACTTGCACCAACGCGGGCGTCAGGCATACTCTCATATAATATGTATCCATCTCGGTATCCATATAAAAGGAAACCCTAGTTATGGCATCCCTCGTCACCAACGCGTTGTATACGTATGCTTACCCCGTGAGCTGGTGCATTAGCAGCGCGCGCGCGTGTGTGTGTGTAGAGTCATAGAGTGTAGATACTGTAGATCAGTAGATGTGTGTATGATACACACGCACACTAAGCACAGCAGTGTACAACGCCCGTAATAGCAGCAGCAGAGGTATAGGAGAGAACGTGTAGGTATACATAATAATAATAGTAATAATAATAATACGACGTTACAGCCACGCGAGAGAAAGAGAGAGGGACGACGGTGCAGCAGCAGTAGCAGCGCAGCGGACGATGCATCGGCACGCGCGACCTTGACAATCGATAATCCAGCCAGCCCGGCGCACCACCACCACCACCCGACAATGCCCAGGCCTTGCTCAATGGACCCGACCTTGAAACCCACCGCTAGCTCTCTCTCTCTCTCGCTGCACCCACACCCACGTAGCGGAGACCCACCACTTTTTTCCCTCCTCCTACTCGTCCTTTCTCCCTCCATCCCTCGTGTAGGTGTGTACGCGTTATATGCACAGCGCAACTATATGTATATACAGCCCGGAGAGCTTTTAAAGCTCCGGAGCGCGACCATGGCTGCTAAAGTGCTATGCTTCCGTGATGTAGGACCTTAAGGATCCTCCCCCTTCCCCCCCCTCTCTGTACCACCTATCCCATCGACGTACGCATCTCGAGAGCCAAAAGCCATTATTTATTATTATCATTATATTGTATATCTATATATAAAAGCTTTGCACAACCCCCATACCGCTGCTGCTGCGTCGCCATCCCCCTCTCGTTTCTCCACTACCGAGTTTTTGCCACGTGCGCCACGTCTAACACCACACACACACACACACATACACACAGAGGGTTTTTGTGGTTTTGGCGCTCGCGCGCGAACGAGACTCCCTTGGCCCCTTCGTTATACACGATATATATATATTTAGATACAATCTTGATCTACACGTATGGTTATACATACAAAAGCCAGAAGCGGATCGCTTTTCTTCATTGATTAAACATGATTGAGGTTTCTTTTTGTTTTTTTGCTCTTCAAACACTGAGAGAAAAAATAAATAAATAAAAATTACTGTGCTGGAATGGTAATCTGGTACTGTTCGGTCGTCTACAGACTATTTACCATTTGAACAACAATAACTTTTAGTGTTTAGAACAGTAACGCATTTGTTGTAAGTATAGTGATTTTTACTGTTTGTGCAATAGAAATTACTGTCCAAAATAATGGTAAAAATTATAGGTTGGCCAAAGTAAAAACTCCCCCCAAATACCAGATTACCATTCCAGCACAGTAATTTTTATTATATTTTTCTCTCGGTGAGTCCGTTATAGCCAGTCATTATTTTGGATTGATCGAATGTGAAAGGACAACGATCGCGGAAAAAAAAAGAAAGAAAAAAAAAGAAAAGCGAAGCGCTTGCTCCGTAGTATACATCTACATACGACACGTCATACACTTTACACACAGTACAAGTACAACCATATAAAGACAATAGGTATGGATATATAGACGGAGAGATAGAGTACAGCGGTACAGTAACAGTACAAATTATCATGTGTATGCGCGATATAAGGGCTCCGTCTCATCTCTTCGGGCGTATAATATACGGTATACCACGGGACATAGAGATAAAGAGCTGTACATATAAATAAGTATATATATATATACACGCACGTATATATATTACGTACATACACACGTGGTCATGCATACATCTATATATTATATAATATATAAGGCGGACATCAGACGGCTAATTTTCCTCTTCCTTGTTCTTGATGCGCTGCATGGCCAAAATTTTATATTACCACGACGAGGGGGGGGGTATTATTCAAGATCCACGAGCGGATCTTCGTATAATATTATGGATTATGTCTCATTGAGACGCTCTTTTCATTTTCACATGTATTCGTATCCATACGCCACACGCGCGGTTTTACAAAAATACAATAAATAAACGGGGTATTATACACAAGTCGGGGTTTGAAATATTCATTGTACATCGTAGAATATAACTATGTACATAAGTATAGGTACAGGTACGCTCTCTAAAAGTGAATCGGTGAATGAAATCTGCAACGGTTGTGTAGCCAGTGCTTTGTACTGAATACTTAGTAGATAATTGTACTTTACTGACATGTAGGTGAACGATCAATGAAGACGTTAGTACAAACAGTCACTAAAGTTTCACGGATTCAGGTTTAGAGAGATAAATATTTAAAATTTGATTTAAAAAAAAAAAAAAAAAAAAAAAAAAAAGTTAGAGGGTTCGATATTAAAGAGACTCTGGGAGGTATATATATATATGTACATGTGCATGGAAAATGGATTGGCTTACCTCCTCGCATAGCGCCAGCATACGCCTCGTACTCTCGAGCGACTGTAACACAAAAAAGGAAACTTTAATATTTTCGGCAGCCAAAGTGCAGCCCGAGTTTGGATACAATGGGGTCTGCATACATATATGTATAATCGATACGAGGGATGCTGTGGATCACAGGGCGAGGGAGCTTTTCTTCCCGGCGGAAAGTTTCTCTGAACCACGGTAGGTATACGCGAGAAGCATTTGTGATGCGCAAAGCACCGCTTTTCGAGCTTTTTTTTCCATTACCCGGTACTATGAATCGCTCAACCCTCGTTATTTTTATTGGCAGATTGTGTGGTTGTTCGAGCGGATTTTTCGTCTCCACGCCAATCTCAAATTTGTTATTTCGAAATTCATCTATTATTTGCAGGATGGGTAGGTGTGTTATTAGTGGGACTGTTGGAAGTTAACAAAAAAATACACACGAGACGTACGATAATTAATAATTTTTCATTTATTTAGGTTCAAGAAAGATATTCATTATAGCGTTGAGATGGAGATTAAAGAAGCCTCAGATTGTCCCTTTATCATCGTGGGCTTTACCTCGGACGATCCGAGACTTGCTCTACTTTTCCAGCCTTGGATCATATTATTGGCTCGTTTTCCAATTTAATTTCGTCACCCGCATGAAAAAAAAAAAATCCTCCTAGAGCCGGTATTTTTGTGCATTATACTTCGACGATGGGTAAACCAATGGTTTTCAAGCGAGGGAGTTAACATTACTGCCCAACCGAAGTATAAGAGGTATCCGAGAGTGAAACGAAACGAGTTACTTCCATCATCACTTAGAACGAGGAATCGTTTGTTTGTGAGGATTGCAACATCGAGTACTTGTATAATTGTATTAAAAAAAAAAAAAAAAAAAAAAAAAAACATTGAGGGAAAAATTCACTTCAACCACGAAAATATTTAAGTTATTCAACGTCTTGGACGTGCACGTTAAGCTGTAGGAAAACTTTAGTCGCGCATACCTACGTAAATGACACCGACGAGAGAAACTTTCGCACGGGAGAACGTAACGATATACACGAGAAAAAAAAAATTTCGTCCGCGTGTGAGAGTAAGGAAAATAATTGGGTGGACGATAAAACACGGCAGAAAGGAGGGGGGAAGCCATCGTCGTCGTTGACAATCGTATGCAGTTACGTAGACACGTACTTGTAATGTATAGGGCGTGTATATAGGCATACAAGTGAAGCGGCTCTTACCTCATCGGTCGTTTGGTCGGCCTTGAATTGCAGCTCCTGCAGCTCAGTGCGGGGCGGGGCGGGCTCGGCCGCCGCGGCTGACGTCGGCGCAGGCATCTTCGGTTATGTTCTTCTTCTGTTTTTTTTTTTTTTTGTTTTACACCCTCACTCGGTCGATCGGTGGTTGTAAACCCCCTCGAGTTATTCCACCGGGGTGAGCTCCTCTACTCCCCTTGGCTGCTTGGACGAGGCGGCTGCTGCTGCTCCGTAGCACTGACCCAGTTGTACTGGAGCAATGGTAGTCAGCTGCTCTGGCGGTCCACCTCCGGCGGGGGGCGGGGGGCTTTATCCTTGACACCTACAACATTATCAACGGAAGCTGGATTTAACCGAGTGGATTTCGTTGCTCTGCTCGCGAAAAGTCAGTGCGGTGCTACGCGCGAGTTTTGCACATCATGAGCTTATTCAAAATTTTTAACGAATATTTAATAAACAATAATGATAATGGTGATGCTTTGTTTGTTTTATTATGATGGTTTGGAAATACCGAGTGATTATTGAATTTTGAAGGGAAAAAAAAAAAAAAAAATGACGCCTACTTTTCGGCTATACGAGGATAGTATATATTATACGCTCCATAAATTTTGTTATTCAATGGAAGGAGAAAAAGGTAAGCTCCGGTAATACAGAGACTTGATAACTTTCGTTATATATTACACGGCTTCCGTGTTATACATTCAAGTAAAGAATGTGTGTATACATATACATGGACATGGGTGTGTATAATATTGTATACGAGATATTAAACTCGGTTAACTTTGTCCTTACAAGAGATAAGAATTCATCGTTCGGTGTTTTATTAAACAATAAATCGTTACTGTTATTAGAAATTACGTAAAGCCATTTTCCTATATACATTAGCTGAATTATGAAACAACGAACAACCACAAATATTTATTTATCTGTATTAAGGGACTTGTATTATTGTTTGATGATAAAAATAAACATTTTAATTGATTCAACGCTCGTTGTTTTGTAAAAAATATGTATTTGAAACGTAACAGTTAAATACATCATTTTTTGAAATTGCTAGAAAATAATGAAGCTTCAAAGGTTACTGCGGTTGCCGTGAGAACAATTATTCTAAAAATACGGCGGAGTAAGCATGTATATATATGTATGTATGTATGTATAAACATCCGTGAAAAGAGCTCTCCCAAGTTCTCGACGCGATCTTTCCACAATTGCCCACTCAGCCGTCGTCGCAGGTATACACACCGAATCCTCGACACGTACTTTTGCCGTCTCCGCCTAACGTATACACAAAAAATTTAACAAATTCCTGGAAACGACAAAACTCAATCGCCCTCTCTCTTTAGCGAGTGCATCAAACGCACACACACCCACACGCATATATCTCGACACGAGCATCGTTACCCTGTTCTTCCCCCCTCGGGCGCACAATAGCATCTATTATATTCGAGTCGCGCGCACAGCTCGACGGGGGGAGGAGAGAAAAAGGAAAAGCAATCTCTGCTCTACCGAGTGATCATTTTTATCCTCCAACTGCGAGGGGCGTGAAATATTGTTGTAAAATGACAAAAAAGAGCGGAAATCGTAGTTGTTGTTTTTTTTTTTTTTTTTTATCAAAAGTACCCCTCGAGCACGAGTTAAAAGCTCTCTTTCTCTCTCTGCGCCGGCTAACGACTACGATATACCGTTGGACACAAGAGAGGCGTTACGGAGCCTTTTGAGAGGGCGTCATTTACTTCCGCAGTTGAAGCTCGAGGGAAGTAACTAACGCACATGGGATCATTGTATAGGTGTATCGCATCAAAGCCCAATTTACACGAATGAGTGGTGAGGAGGGAGACGATACTTAAACACCGCGTCTGTGTCCACGCTGCTCGTGGTTATATCGATCCACCCCCCCCCCCCAAAAAAAAAAACAGCAATCGAGCGTCAAGTGTTATTGCTGGCTTTTTATGTTTTTGTTATGGGGCAAGAGAGAGGGAGGGATCATGAATGAAACGAGCGTCAAGGGTGGACGAGGGAATTTCCTTTTGGTCCTACGGAAGCGTGCGGGTAACGAGGTCTTCCTTATTTTTAGACTCGGCTTTTCTACTTTGCCAAAATATACAGAGTCGACACGCACATGTAGGGTCACGCATACACTCGCGCGCAGAGGTTTACATATACTTACGTACGCGCGCGCGAGAGAATACACACGTAGGTATATATATATATATATATGCACACGAGGAGCGAGAGAGGGTTGGAAAATCAATAGGCGAGCCGCGGTTGTGTGTGTGTACTTTTTCTTTATCTGCGCAGCTGCACACCGTCCACGTGCTACACTCGGATTTCCCGTCTCTGTCTGACGTATCCCACCCCCCTATCCCTCGCGAACTATGTACTGTATATAATATAATGTGTTGTGTTCCTATATACGGCGTTGCAAGAGTCAAGGGGGAACGTGGGAAAAACGAAAAAAAAAAAAAAAAATAGCAAAGGAGCCCCCCCTTCCCGGAAGCGCTGGGGGCTTGGATCGTGCAAGCTGATTTTCTTTTTTTTTTCGCTCTCCCTTCGGGGTAGTAGAATAGTGCCGACGGCGGTAAGACTGGTTTTCAGCCGACAGCCGGGGAGACCTTGATCCTTTTTGGCAAGGTATTTTATTTTTTTTTTTCATGCAGTTCGTATCGTGATTTTTATACTATAAAATAATAACACGTTCTAAATAAAAAAGGGAGGGGGGGGGGAAAAGAAAATCAATTTCCACGCACTGACGTAATCTTCCGTGAAGGAGACCGTCTAGCATACGAAACGATACGTATCAGCACGAGATCCGGCAAATTCACTATCGCAACGATCCACTCGAGCTGTTATCCCACCATCGGAAGATCTTCAAGAAGCAGTAATAGTGAGTTTCCCCGGCCACGAGAGCCCACGTATACACTCACTTCACAACGAAGAGTAGAGTCGGGTTGCCCGACCAAAGGACACGAAACAATGTACCATCGTGCCCCGTGTCGGGCTTCAATGAAGTATAAGCAAGATAAACATACCGATTTAGACGATTTAGCGGGACACCCGGTACAATATCACTCGCAAGCTCTACGGTTTTATCGCACTGCCCGTGGTGTACTCGTTACGTTGCGTCTTCGGATGAAATTCCTCGCATCACGGCGCAACTAACCGGGCGACCGAAAAAAAAGTCAGTCCGGGGCAGGGGGGTGGGGTGGTGGTGGTGAAGGTGATACGCGCGTGCAATATAAATATCCGCCGCTCGGAGGACAGGGTCGAAGGAGCGAGTTTATGTGTGTATAAATGTAGCGAGTACTCGTGCCCCGCTCTCTCTCTCTCTCTCTCTCTCTCCTCGTTATCTGCACTCCGGAGTGTATTAAGTATTGGCAACTTACGGGTCGTGCTCCCGCGACGAGTCGAAGATCGCGACTGAGGAGCCAGGAAATTCGCGCGTCGCGGGAAAATCGCTCCTTTCCCTCTCTCAGCAGCCGAGGGAAGAAAAAAAAAAAAAAAAAAAAAAAAAAGTAGTAAAAGAAGCTAGGGGTGGCGCGCGCCCGCGCACTACGCTCCGTGCCCTCCCACCCCTTCCAGCGGCGCTGTTCCAACTCCCTTGACGACTGTACAGTTACGCGGACGGTGTGTATATGTATATAGCTACGCTTTTGGCGAACCGAACGACTATGCCGTACTAATTACCGCTATTACTTACCAAGACTGTCGCTCTCTGAAGAGGAAACTTTTCTTTTCTTTTCTTTTTTTTTTTTTTTTTTATCTTTCCCCCCTCTTCGTGATGTCCCAACTCTCACGTGCGCGAAGTAAGCCTTTTTTGCAAAGGGGAAGGGGTCGAGAAGCGCTCGATGATTAATCGGTATGTGTTGTGTTTTTGGTAGCAACAAAGGGGGAAGAGGTGGGGGCTCGAAGATATCGTTGTCAAGCTAACACGTTGATTTACGATGCGCCGCGCGCATAAACGCGATGATCTGTAAGGGCGTTTTTAATTTATGGTAGCTTCGAGGCATCGGACTGTAACGTATCGGTCGGTGGATACTTTTTTCTGAGATTTAGCTTTAAATTACTTTTTTTTTCCTTTTTCTTTTTGTACTTCGAGTATATTAGTATACAGATTGTAAAACGAAGGGTTCGCTTACAATTTACAAAATCGTCGTACATTCTTGTCTCGACCAAACCAAATAAAATCACATTTAAGTACTGGCGTCAAAAAAATGCAGGTATGAAGGGCACGCTGGATATTTGATGCAATCATCCGGTATGCATATAGCTATTACTGAAAATGAAAATTATTGAGAGCTGAAATTTTTTTGGGCCTGCACACGAGTGAAACATCGAGAATATATTACATTATATATTTTATTGCCACACAAATTTATTACATGGCACGATTTTTTTATCAATCATCTCTTGTGCATGGGAGAAACATTAAATATGTATAAAAAAAAATAAAATAAAAAAAATTCACGTTTATATAGTTTATAGGCGAGCTCCTACAACAACGGAGGAAGAAACGAGCCGGAAAAATCGACATTTTTCACTTTCGTCCGTAATTGTATGTGTCTGCGCTTTTTTACAATTCTTCGGTAAGGGCCGACGGAAAAAGTCGCTCGAGAGACAAAACGCATCTGCTGAATCAAACGTTTTCTAAAAGGCCAGCCATCAGTAGCACGTGTACGTTTACACTTATACATCATACATATATATACGACTTTCTGAAGAGCACGAGAGAGGTGGCGGAGAAGTCAGGGTCAGCTTCAAACGAACCAACCCACCCTCCATTACCACCAAGCACCTCGTATTTATATATAGGTGTATATATATATATATATGTGTGTGTGTGTGTGTGTGTGTGTGTACACGTACACACATACTCATGTACATGCAACCCTACCCCCTCCTCATCTAACGAGTGCGACGCGTTTTGTTTGGCCATGCGAGAAAAGTTTGAGGATTTAATTACCAAGGAAAATTTTAACTCTGCTCCCACTGTCCTGGTATTAGTGTTGAAAAACAATATTTACAACTGTTTGAAAACACGTTTCGCAACAAACTTACTTTCCTCTAGTATTTTTTTACAAATGCGTGCTGGGGTGGGTGAAATCAACGGGTAGTGTTGCAAACGAGTTGAAGGAAACGTGTGGACTTTTAAATTTCTCAAAAGGTTTCATGATTAGTCGTTTTTTTTCTTTTATTTAAACAGTGCAAGGATGTAGAAACGGAACTTACTATGAATATTCATTGCACTAATTATCTCTTGGCCAATTATTACCTGAAAAAGTTCAAGATTAAAGTCTACGTAAGAGTAAAATACTTTAATTTAAG